TCAAGCACAACTCCCAGGCAGTACAAGGCTTAACTAAACAATTCAAGCCCTTTCCCCGCACAGAGCTGCTGCTGGGCAACACCAGGTATGCAGCTGATTCCATATACTTTGGGGGGTGGGGAAGATGGGCAACGGCTGCCAGATAAAATTTTATTTCATTATAGGTAAGGGCCAATATCCTATGAGATGTGTTAGCTTAGAGAGCTTGACTGACAATGCTGTTACCCACCTACTCAAAACATTTTCTGCATAGTTAATTCTTAAGAAGCCAAAAGGTGACATACGCTAGAAAAGAACAAAACGTTACCAGCTCTGCACCTGCTTAGCTTTACACAGTTGTCTGTGCTGCAGCTACAGACCCATGACCAAACACCTCCAGTAACAACAGAAACCAAGCATTCAAATGAGACAAAAGGCTATGCATGGACCCAGGAAAGTAATGGTGTCAAGTGCTAGTCACTGGCACACAGTCTAACTTGCAGCTGCTTTTGCCAGGGAACCTGCTTATATAATTGCAGAGATGCACTGCTACCATGGCAACAGTTTACATAAGTAGCTGTGACTCAGGATGAGAGTTACCACAACTTGTTTCTTTAAAGAGACACCTCACAGAGGCTGCAGCTTCTCCACTAGCCTTGCAAGTGCCCGATTAACGGACAAGCTGAACACAGCACTTACATAACCTCCAAACCAGAAGAGCTGGTACTTCAGAAACAGTGACTGTGCCACCAAGGTCCCAGAAGATCCCTGTGGAGGTTCTGTCCCTGAGCACTTACTGGTCCGCGCTCTCCTAAAGCGCAACACGTTTCGTTTACGGAGCGCCGTGCGGCAAGTGCAACCTTATCTGCCCTCTGTCGTGCGTGAGCCGTGAAGAGCCTGTTTTCCCCTCAGCACCTGCTCACTTCAACACCCTTCAGGCCCCACCTGGCCTGGGCCTCCGCCACGGGCCAGAGCCACGACGAACGCTCTGCCGGCATCGCCGACCTACGGCGGGTCATCCCCGCTAGGGTGAAGAGCCGAGCGGTGGCTCCAGCCCGCTCACCACCGCGGCACCTCGGGGGGCACAGGGGCACCGGGCCGC